CATTACCAAGAAATACATCACGGCTCTCTCTCTCCCTGAGCCAAACATTCATTTCCTCCATGTCTAATTAAATTACCTGCTTGTAAAGTAAAAATATAGTGTCTTTCTCTCACGTTTGCCCGTTAATTCACTCCCCTTCTGGTTTTCTGCTTTGCTAAGACTCTCTCTCAGAAAGCTGTAGGCAAATCTGTATCCTCTCCGGATAACGTTTCCCTGAGGGCTGCGGGAAAAGAAAAGACTGGGATTTAATCTTTTCTTCTGAAGTGATGGGATGAGTGAAAAAGGTGCATTAACAGTTTCTCACTCTGACCGTCTTTATCACACACATCCGCACCGCCACACACACATTCTCTGACACCACAAATATACAGCAAGGTTTATTTAAAGGAAACCCAGATGAATGTAAAAGCACTTCAAATGAAGCGTGAAGAGGAAGGGGTTAAGATTGAAACATCTGCAGTACATAAAACTGAAAATCTTACACATCCAAACAGCGTACACACGCAGATAAACACAATGACCTCACACACACTCGCAGAGCTGATAAAAGGGGACCCACAGGGCCCGTCTGTGTGTGATCTGAATGTGATGGTATGTGGGGTGAGCAGCAGTTCACATCAATCCAAAAGGGAAAGACAAAGACAGCAAGAGAAACATGAAAAAGCTCAAAATGCTGCAGGGTAAAACTCTAAAGGCCACTTTCCCAGACACTGATTAAACCCAGCACTACAGTGAAAGGGATAATCACTGATGGAAATGTTTCAATTCGATCTATGGCCAAAAAGCAACCATAACGGGGTAAAGCATAAGAATATAGGATTTTAGAGAGGACCAACAGCTATAGAATAGTTCATTAAAAATGCACAAAGTCAATTTTTACTTAGCTTCACATTGTTGCAAACCTTTTCTTTATACAGTGTGTGAAAATTAAAGGAGGTGTTTAGAAGAATATTTACAGTCTTCTGAAAATTTGTGTGAGAAATTTAGGCTGTTATCCACCCACATCTTTAACATTTTCAATGTCTTAAAGGGGTCCTATTATGCTCTTTTACAAAGTCTTGATTTTGTTTTGGGGGTGTACTAGAACAGGCTCTCATACTAGGTTGCTTGAAAACACATTCTTTTTCACATATTTTACATCATTACAACACCTCTCTCCCCAGTCTGGCATGAACGGTTGGAATAGTTCCTGTATCAAATGAAAGCCCACCTTCTGAAATACGAAATGTGCTGTGATTGGTTAGCTGGGCCAGTGTGTGTTGTGATTGGCAGCACTCGGCGCCTGGTTGGGAAATGTCACGCCCCTTACCACAGCCGCCTGCGAGCTTCAGTGTAAATATTGCATCAAAATCAAATCAGTTTGAGCGCGATTTAAACCCGGATGATTGTAACCACTCTTAAGTTCGTCTGCCTTGGGAAAGCTAGCGTGTCTCTGACATAGTGATAACACTCGTTGCCTTCTCTAGTGCAGCTCAACCAGGTCTCGTCCCATTGGTCGATATTTGTGATATCTGACATCTTTTTTATGCTCAAACAGCAACATTACAGACTAACTAAAGTTGAAAAAGTGAAAAAGCATAATAGGACCCCTTTAAATCTCATTTGTGAATACACATTTTTGAAAGTGGTGCGTTAAGATGTCAGGCCAGTGTTATTTAAGTATTATTTATGTAGTATTAACGTATTTATTAATATTTAAATTTTAATTTACAATTTAGTTTAAGTTTTAGTAATTTTGTTATGTGCTTGTCATTATTTTGTCAAAATAATAAAGTTTTAATTTATTTTTATTTAAGTTTTAGTATTAACTTTACTGTATTTCAGGTAGCCGCCAAGGCAAATTATTTCAAATTTATTTCGATAATAAAAGGGTTTTAATAACAACACAGCGACAGGCTGATTTTAATGTGCTTTTCGGATTTTTGGAGACCATTTGTGGTCACAATATGCTTTTATTGTAGCCAGATTTACATACAGGTTTGGAATGACAAGGTAAATAACATCAATTTACATTTTTGGCTGAACTGACCCTACACTCACCCCAGAGGCATCCTAGGTGTATATGACTTTCTTCTTTCAGACGAATCCAGTCGGAGCTTAATTATCTCTCCCTACTGCCTTTCCATATTCATTATGCTCTATTCCACCGAGATACACACAAACCGACACACACTCACTTTCAGGAACTCTTGCACGCACACACATAAGCAAAAGGAAACTATGAAACTGATGAGAGAGCAGGCAATTTTTTTAAGAAGGACAAACAAACATTTATATTCATTTCTCTCCTTTTGTTTTCCTGTCCGTTTCTTTGGCAGTGGAGTCATATTACAGCGGGATTCAGAACCCAAATACGATTAGCTCTGGCTGAAGTGATGTCACCACTTTTTTAATTATCTCTCCCTACTGCCTTTCCATATTCATTATGCTCTATTCCACCGAGATACACACAAACCGACACACACTCACTTTCAGGAACTCTTGCACGCACACACATAAGCAAAAGGAAACTATGAAACTGATGAGAGCAGGCAATTTTTTTAAGAAGGACAAACAAACATTTATATTCATTTCTCTCCTTTTGTTTTCCTGTCCGTTTCTTTGGCAGTGGAGTCATATTACAGCGGGATTCAGAACCCAAATAAGATTAGCTCTGGCTGAAGTGATGTCACCACTTTGACCTTTCCGACTATCTGCCGTTCCCAACAGGGCACTGCTGAAATAATGAGACTTCGTTACCATAGCAGCTTAATAGGTGCCAGTTGTAGAAACTGAATGAGGCAATCAGGACAGAGCAATGCTAAGTACCTTCTAGCTGGCCTGAAAAATATCCACTTTAGCCAACGAACATTCCTGACACGTCAAGCTGTTAATGCCCGAAAAGTGCAAATGAGTGTTAGGTTATTAAGAAACTGGCCTTTAACAAAAGGCGGCTTGGAAAAAAAAAAAGACAAAAAACACTTCATACATATCAATACAATGGATAAACGATAAGGAGCCGTTGAATGAAGCGGAGCGTTCTGATTGGCAGCGACGCATGTTTCTGAAGGAGACTGGGTTGTTCAAATGGCCAATTAGCAGCTGATTCTGATGAATTCATTAGCATGTTCTCAGGTAATTAGAGGAAGCGGCTGAGTGAATACTAAATATTCAACAGGAGAACAGACACAGTGCCACACAGCTCGCCGTGTTCCTCTGTAGACTCTCATTAGCATAAACACACACATACACACACACACTCTCTCAAGCGCCCATCTGCACTACTGAGAGACTGTTTCATACACAGATATAAAAATTCACACCTCCAAAATAGCCTTTCCATTACAGGAAGAAACTAAGAGGTAGGTAAACAAAAAGTCTTCTATTAACACACATAACATATTCTCAGCAAGAAATACATTCCTCATTGACAAACAACATCTTTAAAGACAATAATGAACCAATTTGATGAACACAGTTTTCTAGTTTTTCTTTTTTATATATAACTAATATTGTAAAACCTCATTTAACAGCATGTTTCATGAACGATATTTTTAAACTGAATAATTTCAAACCACTTCATATGCAACCAGTTGTTTGTTGGGACAGGAAATAAAGTACAAGCGAAAAGACACAAAGACAAATCCTAACTTGGGAACAGACATCGCTAGTCGGAGTCGGTGGTATTTATAATTTAGTGGAAGGGACATTCTTATTCTG